ATCATGTTTTGAACAAAGAACGCATATGTTCATGGTCTATTCAATATGTATGCATGTTTCGATGTCATTGCTTCAAACACAATATGTACGTCTTCAGAAAAGAATAAATCGATGGACTGTTTTTCTTCTTTTATGTGTAAATGTCTCGCAAATAAAGGAAAGATGAAACAAAGTTATTGTTGCATATAGAACAGAGACTGAAAAATGGGTATATTTCAACAAGTGAAAGTTTATTGAGTATTTTATGACAGTTTTTCAATGAGGACACGAGAAAAAAATGTGCTTTGACTCTATTACAAGAATCGCTCAATACATGTGGACTTGAAATTGTGTGAGTAGATTGTCATGAGAAATAAATGACTACAAGAAGAATTCTCTACACCGCAGGCCTATCGATCACCTGGTAGAAATGTGATTCCACAATCATATCTCAGCCTTGAGAGATACCAACACTCTCGATTTTTCCGAATTGTAATCAAAGTACAGATGACCGTACCACCTGCATTTCTCTCTTAAGCTATGTTGTACACTAGCCGTGAGAAAGATACTAACACAAGTCAGGAAGGGAGCGGATAATAGCAAAAGAAAAAAAACTGGAGGTCCGAACTGAAACTAAAAGAGCAAACGTTAAACCTTCTGATTTAGACAAATACTGCTGACCAATACCGAGCACAGTTCTTTCGACAAGACACAATAATTTCTAATTTTCTTCTACATTATAGATGAGCGAAACAGGGCTCAAAAGAAAATAAAGTAATTCCTCTTTATATGAATTCTATTTATGACTACGTGATCAGATGAGTGATCAAAAAAAGACCCCTCAAATATTTTCTTGCGTGATCAAAATTGGACCCCTACAGAAAACATTAATTAATTATTTCATACGCAGCACAACTAAAAAATCATTTTCCAAGAAAATCGACTTACCCGTAATACTCCAGCATGATTTTCGTGTTTAAATTTAATCTTTCAGATGCATGTTTTTTACATTCAAATCTCTACAGATGCATCTGCTCGTCAAAAAGTAAAATATTATCAGGTTTATATACTAATCAAGATAATAAAGAATGATTTTTCTTCCCCTTTTCTTTGGAAAATGATTTTTTAGTTGTGCTGCGTATGAAATAATTAATTAACGTTTTCTGTAGGGGATCCAATTTTGATCACGCAAGAAAATATTTGAGGGGTCTTTTTTTGATCACTCATCTGATCACGTAGTCATATATGCACCCTAAACTGTTTACATATCACATAGTCAAAAAGGGGGGGGAGGTTACACATATATCACGTCGTCATACCTATGTCACTTGGGTTTGAGAAAGAAATAGAACTTTTTAAAAAAAAAAAAATTGAGACGTTTTGTTTCATGGGGTATTTTTCCAGGAGAAAGATCATTTTCCGGTGTAAACACGAATGAAGGAGCCTTTTCTTCCTTTCTTTCTATGATGTGAGAAAATGAAGAAGAAGGAAAACGTTTTTACGTCTTCCTTTTTCTTTGTACTTAAAAATAGATGTATCTGCTAATAGTTTTTGGAATTGTCAGAGTACGCGTGAGGATGTTTATCCTGTCACTAGCAATGCCAATTGTTCTTGTTTTTGTGTCCTTTGATCATATTTGTTATTGTATTCGGTCCGATGCACAGTATCACTAAAAATGGAAGCAGAAAACCCCGGCAGCTCGTATATAGAAACTACTATCAGATTTTATTTGGAAGTGGTTTTAGGATATTTTTTAAAAATCTCTGGGGGTGGTTTTAAGATATTTTTTGAAGGTTTTTTTCGGATTAACATTTGGGTGAGGTTTTCGGTTATACGGTTGGCAAAAATAGGGTGAACATCGGTGAGGGGAGTGTTTTCAAATGTCTCGGTCCACATTTGGTATAATTTTGGACCAAAGCGTGAAATGGAAGGCACATATGAAAAATGGATAAGGAGCTCTTTTTGCGGATTAATTTGTTTGCGTGGCAGTCGGCTGCTCGTCCAATTTAGATCTCTAACGTTAGTCCGGCAGTAATCATATTTGTTTTGGTTCTCGAATAGAGAATCCAGGTTGCGTAAGCGAATATCTTTGACAAAGCGGTCGAAATGGGCGTCTATGAACTTGGGTGGGTAGCCATTGAGTAGGAGTCTAATTCGTATATTGAATACCTCTGTTTTGCAGTCTTCAGATTGTGAACAGATGCGTAGCGCTCGGAGAATTGCAGCATAGGGTATATTTTGTTTTATATGGATGGGATGTGAAGAGTCAAAAGGTAATATGTATGGTTGGGCGGCGGGTTTTCGGAAAACGGTCGTGCGGAAACGGTTATTAGGAGGGTCTTTAAGAACTGTCACGTCCAAATAGTCAACTGAGTCTCCGGTCTCGTAGGTTAGTCTTATGTGCGGATCTTTAGAGTCAAGTTTTTTGAGGATGTCGACAAAGTCGAAAAGGGGTCGTTTTGTAGTCAGGTGAATGTCGTCTCGAAATCTCACATAAATTTCTTTTTCGCTTAATTGCATTGCTAGAATGTCACTTTCCCACTCCATCATATAAACATCGGCTAGCACTTGAGTCACTGCTGACCCCATCGCACCACCTTTAATTTGTCTGTAATATTTTTTGCCTAATGCGAAAAATGCATTGTCGAGTATGAACCCCCTTGCTTGAGTATGAACACATTGCTTCGTGTGCAGCAGATTACTGTGTTAGAGAGAACTGTAGGTAGTAAAATCTGGCACTGTCCTTCTTATTCGTCAAGCCGAAAGTGTTAAGTTGCCTTGGAAATGCACTAACTCGTATAACTGACGTCGATCAGTTTAGTATTTGATCATTACACGAATATTTCATCTTCAAAAGAAATTAAGAAATTATTTTTTATCGTCAATGGATGGCTATTGTTAATAAAAAACGAAAGTAGGTGAAAAGAAAGCACAACTCCTGATGCAATATGCTTTGGTTATAGTTTGAAAAACAATCATTTTTGTAAATATTTACAATTGAATTAGATGTAATATTATATCGAAGTGCAAACAATAAAATTTTGTACATTTTGTCTTCATTTTACTGGAAGGGGCATGATTGAATCTGATCGATTCAAACAAAATACTCGGCAGAGATTTGACGTGTATATTACCCATGTACTAAAAATCGCATAAAAATCGTGAAAAATCATAAGATTAATCGTGCGCTTGAACACGATTAATTGCCGGGTTTTTGGTGATTTTAGCGATTAAACACAATCAACTGACGATTTTTTCTGTGTACTACAGTACTGGCCAAAATTATAGGTTCACCTTTATTTTTAATTTTTCTCCTCGACCATAACAGCTAGAACCAAGGTACGAAAAGATTTGAACAACTGAAAGAGTTTATAATCAGGTGAGGTGGACATGGAAATTCCATTAAAATCCCTGCAAACCAGGTCTGTGGAAACCAAGGTTTTAAAAAATCCCAAAAATCAAGACCCGCGATTCCAACGGAAACTTTCTGTAAATAGCCCATTCGTGTAGAGCAAACATTTCTGAACAAAGTTAAACGTCGCGAACTCTCTACGCCATTTTTTCATCGAACTGTATTCAGTTTACGAAAGGCCCATCCACGTCACAAGCAGCAAAATCGCTAGAAAAAGGCAAAAATGATAGTGAAAATGACCGAGGGGCTTTTCGTAAATTGAATGCAATTCGATGAAAAAACGTCGTAGAGAGTTCGGCGACGTCTACTTTTATTCAGAAATGTTTACTCTCCGGTTCAGGTGTAGCATCACCCAAACTTTTCCACTCATAAAAGGAAAAAGTTACAGAAATCGTAAGGAATCTGACCATTCCTTTGAAAAAATTTCAAAACAATCTGACTAAGATAACTTTTCTATAGCGAAGAAGTGTTTCTTTGCGAATGTGTACGAAAACATTTTCATGTTTCGGCTATACCCGGGCGTCAAAAAAAATCTAGTACCTCCCGATTCATCTAGATTACCAGATTTTTACTCGATTGCAACTACTGAGTGACGACAGTGAAAATCTAGTAATCGGGCGATTGCTGCATTTCATCTAGTTACAACTATCGACCTGTCGCCCGATAATCGATCGATTTAACTATTGCTAGTTGCACATGCAGACGCATCTAGTTAAAAGTCCCTTTTCCAACTAGTAATCTAGATGGCAACTAGTCATGTATCGCTCGATTACAGACGAAATGTATCTAGATTTTTCCCATAGGTGATGTTTGCTTGGGTCCTTCGGATCACCGTGGAAAAACTTTCGTGTCCGTTCGGGTCGGGTTCGGATGGGATCGGATCGGATCGGGTTGGGTCGGGTCAACATATAAGATATTGATTCGGGTCGGATCGGGTCAACTCACGTTCGGGTCGAGTAGGGTTCGGATCACGTTTGCTTGACCCGTTTCGGTCTCTGATATCCAGCCCTAGAGGAAAAGAAAATAGGGCTGGACGGGTGTGGACAGAATGAGTATTCCTTAGATTCAGAATATTTTTCAGTTTGTTATTCATATCACAACCGAACAGCAGAAGATACGACTACATTATTAAAATAAACACTGGGAATAAAAGTTTTCTAAAATGGTTCTTAGAAGCCGCATAACCTAGATGGATAAAAGCTTCTTTTATGGCATTTTATAGCTCCAACACTTCCTTACCTCGCTCGTGTTTTGAAATCTTCTGAACCATTGCTTCCCTTCTTTATTTTTGTAAAAAAATATTGATACAGTTACTAAAGCAATAAACCGTTCGTAACTTAATATACACTATATCATTCAAGTTGAATTAATTCTGTTATTGTTCCTTCCAGACAAACTCTCAAAGATAATAATATTTACTAATCTTTTTACTTGTCAAGGAGCATAATACTGCATAAAGTTAAAAATTTCAGAAGCTGTTTCTTGGAAGAAACACGGTCTTAAAAGTGTAAAAACTACAACTATATAATAGAAAGATTTGACTAGAGTTATTTTCGGAGTTCTTCTGTATTCCTGGTTTAGTTTCTTATAGCTGTAAGACAACAGCGCAATGAACTTCAAGTTAGCTTTTGTTCTAGTTCTTTTAGTAGTAATTGATATTACAAGTGGATCGCATTACAGGTAAGAGTAACCAAAAGCTTTTATCTCTCTGTTAGCATAAACGAATTCCATAACTTTTTGATTTCAGAGGTGGCTCCATTTCTTGGTCCGTCGATCCCTTGCAACCTACACATGATTCGGTTCTAATCCGTATTAGTCAGCGTCATTCATTTCGTCGAACCTACAGTACAAGCACGTTCTGCGATCAACAAACAATAACTGCCGGCGGTGTTATCGGTGAAGGCAGTCTGGAATGTGGTTATAACTGTCCTGGAGCGAATAATGGAATCGATTATGAAAATATAACGGACGTCACTGTAGCAACGCCGTGGAAAAAAATATCAATCGTCTCGAGTGTATCCGGTCTTGTACCGTGTACGGATTACAGTGAGTTGTACGATTACAGTAGTGGTGAAGGTGAAACAATTGTGACAATTCCAACCGATGTTCGATTTAATTACACATATGCTTCCTGTTGTTGGATATCATTGCTGACGATTTCAGCTGGAGAAGGTTGGTCGTTGAATCTAGTGATTGATACACACAGACGAAGAAATGGAAGGTAAGTTTAGTTTACTTGCCAATTGATCCGTGATTACACGCTTTTGCCTGTAATTTTAGATTCAATTCATCACCGAAAAGTGCAATGAATCCAGTTGTTCGATTAGCACTAGGACGTGAACATACGATTAAGATACCAATGGCAGATAGCGATGGCGACAGTTTACGATGTCGTTGGGGGAACACTCTAACTGAATGTGGTGGTATTTGTCAGCCACAAGGTCAGCTTCAATCAAATCCATGTGAAATTACGTATTATGCAGCTCAAGTCGGCTACGAGGGTATTGCAATAGTCATTGAAGATTTCGAGAGTGCCAACTCAACAGTCCCTCTATCCTCCATTCCTCTACAATTCCTCATTCAAATTGTTCCACCAACAACTGAAATGCCTATAACTGGAGTCACCGGAAATTACACTGTGTCCCCACCCTGTAATCCTCCTGTTTACGTCGGTCGGCGCCCACACGGTGCATGTATCGGTGTACCATCAAACGCCTTCGTTATGGAAGAAATTCAAGTTCGAACAGGCTGTAGTCACACAACAATCACCGATATTCTCACTACATCACCACAAGGAATGACAAAGAGCAATGTGACACAGAGTGATCCTCTCATACAACCTGATATCTATTCAATGTACGTCTACTGGACTCCACAATCCTATCAGACCGGTATTCATCAACTGTGCATAACTCCAGCTGCAAGTGACGGACAAACGGGAACACAAGCTTGTCTCACATTTCAAGTTGATATCCTTCCACCAGAACTGATAGGCAATAGTACTTATCCACAAAATGGCGATACTGTTAGTTCAAACAACTTCTACATCTTTGCCAGTCGATACATCTTTCGACCAACACGTGATGCCTACATTCGATTTTATCGTGCAGATACGAATGCATTGGAATTGGAGTTTAATGTTGTCGGCTATCCTTCGATTTGGTATCAAAGCAATCGGCTGAGTTTCTATACAAACTTTTCTCACACGTGGGAAGAGGTAAAGTATCGTTCTTCGTTATTTGCTCGTTTTGTTCAGTAACCTTACATTTTTCTAGGGTCAAGATTACTATATTCTATTCGATAGTGGTGTTATAACTGGCAATGAATCGTGTGGAGTTGAATCATCGCCAATCAGCAGTCCTTACTTTTGGAGATTTCATGTTGCCCTTAATCAACAAACAACAGATGGAGGAGTTACGTATATCAACAGATCTTATTCCGCAGACCTGGATCAAGAGCAGCTCACAAGTGAAGGGCGGCCAATACAGTACACAACTCAACAAACCCAGCAAACATCTACTGCACGAACCACGACGACTACAAGAACAACAGCTACCAACACACCTGAAATTATAACAACAGCAACTCAACAACCTTTACTTTCACCATGCCCACGATACTGGCAATTTGATACTTTGGTCAATGTAACAACAAATGAAGCAGAACAAAATTACACATTTTGTTTTGATGTTAATCAATTTCAGTCTGATGTGACCATTACAGCAAATACATACGTTAGTTGTTCAAACTGGAAACAATCCGGTGCAGGTGATCCAATGCTCGAACTGTACTGTCGAAAGCAATGGAGTGAACAATTATTGGCTGTCAATGATGATGGAAATGCCAACTTTCAAAATTGCTTTGCAGCTGTCTTGAGCTATCGTCTACCACGTGGAACGTATAAAGTGGTTGTGCGACATCCAAAGTGTAATTATGGAAGATTTGAATTGAGGTTGAGATTAGACAGGAACAGTGAGAATCATATTAGTAGTAAATAAGAAAGTGAAACAAACTTGGTGGTTATTTTTTTCGTATCGTTTTTAAATAGTTTATAGCGTTTTCATATCTACTAAAGAGTGTTATTTTATTCTGGAGTGAAAAATTGTCGTTTATCTGAGTACCTTATCGAAAACTGGCATCTACACAATTAATTATACAAAACAAACTTTATAATTAAAAAAGGATCGACATTAACTGTAAAACGTGTCTCAGCTGTTGACTGATATTTACTCCATTGAATTTCCATTTCAGTGCTGAAAAGTCCAACCGTTCTAACACGCCTTAGAGAAGGACTGATTCTGCATTTTCTGCTCGACTAGAAACAAAAAAAAATGACAAGACCTACAGGTGTGAAGCAGTTAAAACTTCGAAAACCCGAAGCACACTTACGTAAATAAATTGAAAAAATATCGTTCCGAAAGTGTAGCAACTCATTGAAATTCTTGATATCTTACTTTTCGGTTGGTTTTAAGTCCAACCCTAGAGAACGTACTTGATGCAAGTAATTGATTACTTGCGAAGTACTTGTCAATGATCGAAATACTTACCTTATTGCGAAGAAGTACTTTCTGAAAGTACTTGCAAGTAAATTTACTTCTGGAAAAAAGGCAAGTACCGGCTTCATTACGCAGACGACGTACTTGGTCCAAGTACTTGGCCCCAAGTACGTTCGCTAGGGAATAGAGCAATGACTTGTAAGAGGTATCTTATTCAATTGTTCTCATGTAGGCGTCGACAGAGCTTCTGGAAGGGGCTGTAATGAGCAAAAGCAGAGTGTATATCTCTGTTTGACTGATAGAAAATCTAACGGCTTGGTTTGGATTGAAATTCTCAGGTATTGTCATATCGACTACAGTGGTTTATCCTAGCCAACATGACTCCCTTCTCTATATTCGTTCACAGGACGAATTTGAAGATTGAAATATCTATATCGGAATCAAACGGCGACTTGGGCCGTTGCCAAACTAGCGTATCTACCTCCTAACAGGACTCGAAATGGACTATAAAAAGTGGCACGACTCAATCGGAGTTCAGTTTAGCCCGACCCACGCCGGCCCAGCTAACTAACAAGGTCCGCCTAGGCCTGACGAATACATTTCTCGCCAACTTTTTTCTCTTGACAGAATACGACGGAATGTTAAACGATAGTCGATGTCCTGAGATTGAGACAGTCGATACTACACCACATTTAATTTATCTCAATAAGCGAAATTGAGACGAAGAAACTGTGATAATTAATATTCGCTTCATACATGGGACAGGAAAGGAAAGGACGGACATTCGAAAGGACAGAATGGAGAAAAAGTGGCTCCCACCGGACTCGAACCCACACCTTCTGCTATCCGGGCAGATGTCCTAAGGCAGTTAGACTAAAAGGACCAACTTAATCTCCGTTTAGCGTCAGTATTTATCATCACTGACACTAACAATTAACTTTCCAATCTACACGATCGATAGATAACTAGTAGGTAGGGGTGAGAAGTTATTATTATTTCACTGTTATTAATAACAATAACAATAAATTCACACCCCTACTAATAGGCGTCTGAACACAGTAATGAGCAATATAGATTTCGCAATTTTCTTGTATGTTAGTCTTTTTATATCGGAATGAATCGACGTGAACTCTCGCACATTTGTAAATAGGGTTTTCTCTATTACAGGCCGAGTGAGGTGAAGCATTACCAAATTTTATAGAAAAAATGGTCTTTTGTTCATATTTATATTGGCCCATTTCGAGCGCTACCTCCTAACTATATTCTATCGGATACACATGTTCGCAGTCGAACAGCCTTTTGGCACTTCAGAAGCTTCCCTCGTCAGCAAAACTTCCACTTGAAACATGGTCAAAATCTCGACCTTTTACACTTGTGGCTAGCTAGAATGCAATAGAGTAATGATTATGAGGTTTACCTAGATAAAATAACTTGATTTGACCGGTGGTACTGAAAAAGCGCAAAGTCACTGTGAAGCTGGCTGGGCTATTTCCGACACCACCCAACCAAGCAGAAAGCTCGAACTCTGCACGTCCGAGCTGCACCAAACGTCCGTAATCAGAAATCACCACGTCGTCTTTGAATTTCATGTAGCTCAGTTCTCCATCCATGCCTACATAGATACAGCTGTTATTGATACCATTGTAGGTATCAGACGCAAGCAGGTAACTGTCGGCAGATCCATACTGAACGGCAACGATGTTTTCCCCCACCCAGCCATTCATTAGGGAACAGTTATGACTTCTGTCAGTTTTCTCAGCGTTTCCGTCGGGTACGAGATTTACGGGCCGAATAGTTGCGATATGACTCCCATTGGGATAGATGATGTTTTGAAGTTCGTTACGCCTGTTCTCTAAAAGAGCAATATCAATGTTAGAGCGTGATAAGTCCGCACGGGTAAAATCTACGGAATACAGGTCAGTATTTGTAAAGTCCGTGTCGTCAAGCAAAGCATCTGTAAAATCGACATCGAGCATATAACAATTCGTAAAGTTAGCGCGTGAGAGGACAGTTTTCGGTAGGTAAACATCCATCATAAAGATATTTGAAAAGGAAGCGTCGGATAACAGGGCACCAGCAAGTGCTAGGTCGGTAAAACGTAACCAGTGTGAGAGTGTCGATCGTTGTATGGGTGATTCAAACGTGAGATTACTCAGATCTAAATCGTGAGTAAGGAATTTGAGAGAATTATTTTGAAACCGTACGACGTAATACTCATACATAAATTGGACGAGACGACCTTTCCGACCACCATCAAGCTCGCGAAACGTAGCAATAGTCTTAGCTCGCAGAGCGTGCCTCTCATGAACACTCCAATTATTCTCTTTGACGGCAACAATAAGATCATGGACATATACGTTGAATAGATTCTCACGTCGAAGTTCGTCGGCCATATAGATGTCCTTCTCTCGTTCCAGTTGTACGATGAGTAAACTAGTAACGCGCGCTTCTTTTTCTAACTGCAACTGCTGAATGGTAGTTACTACCGTGAAAACACCAATCATCAGTGGTACGAGAATTGCCGATATGAGTTTGACCAGTGCTATTCTAGAACTTGGTGATCGACACCTTTCATGAACTTCACTGATTTTCGCACTTGTATTCGCCATATGTTAAGCTGGCTTCTTCTGACGTTCTTCAATCTTGAAAATGGCTTTCTTCTCTTTATCAACAATTATTATCACAGAAAACTGACAACATCCGTACATGACATATTCATAGCCTATGTGTCACGTTATAGAAATTTTCTGTCATAGTAATTGTTGATAAGGGGAAAAAAGACATTTACTAAAAGATTCTCAGAAAAGAATTTTCTGAGAACAGAAAAGTTCTATAACGTGACATATACGCTATGAATATGTCATGTACGGATGTTGTCAGTTTTCTGTGATAATAATTGTTGATAAAGAGAAGAAAGCCATTTTCAAGATTGAAGAACGTCAGAAGAAGCCAGCTTAACATATGGCGAATACAAGTGCGAAAATCAGTGAAGTTCATTGTGGGTAATGATTGTGTGTTCTTTAACAGCGAGCGGGTGCTCCTCGTATCACTACAAAGCTCTAAGCGCAATTCTATGTACCCTCTCATAATAGTTTTTCGTTTTTAGTATGCAGTATGCAGTATTTAACTTTTAGCTTCTAGTATTCAGTATTTAAGGTTTGGTTTCTAGTCTGGAAATGGTCAGCAGCGAAGGCGGAGGGGAGCAGGGGCAAGGTGATGAGAGTGAGCTTCTAGATAGTATATAATTGAAGATGTTCCAAAAATCAGACCAGACCCCTTTGGTTGCATTTTCAGATCTAATTTCATCGCGCTTTACTGTGACTTTTCTTCGAGAACATGATTCAGTCAAGATAGATGATTTGTGCTGGCTAAGAGATTGAAGACAGGGTAAGTGCACAACAATTGTATTTCTGAAAGCAAGACAAAGGACAGGAAAATAGGAAAGTTATTATTCCGTAATATTCTCAGCGCCGTTGCTCATTACTGACACTCCCAAACGTAGTTAATTATGCGCCGAATCGACACTTTACTTTGAAAAGGTAGAAAAGCAATGGATAATACCGGCTGCTTTCTCCAGTCGACTACAAAACGTGGGAGCAGAATGATCCAGAACCAAACACTAATAGTAAAATACTAAATCCCAAATACTGAATACTAAAAACTAAAAACTACAAGTTAAATACGGAACACTGAATACTAAAACAAAAACTAAAAGCTAAAAACTAAAAAAACTAAAAGTTAAATACTGAATACTGAATAGTAGAAACTAAAAACTAAATACTAACAACTAAAAGCTAAAAGCTAATTACTGAGGGCCGATCAAAAGTTCGCAGAACGATGTTTAAATTTCTATAAAATACTTAACATCGAAAGATTTATTGCATGAATACTTAATAAAATGTCTCGTCCATAATTCTAACAGTCTTTCAGATAAAGTCTATAGCACAGTGAATATACGAACATTACGTGTCCAGGATTCGAGTATATTTCTGAATTTCGCATTTTTTCTTTCCTCCCTCATATGATATTTTCTGACGTCATATACACTTAAATATTACATGTAACAGTATATATTGAGTGCAAAATCATTTATTGAGTTAGTTCATTCGATTCGCTTACTTTTTTCGTGTGAATAAATCAGGATTTCCGATCGATACTTTGTATCAAATATCAAAGTCATCCTGAACCTGTGACAAAATCTGATTTGAATTTTTTTTAAATCATTAAAATGCCCGATGAATTTAATCGATATTATATTAAAATTCGGCCAATCCTGGAAATAGATGCAAAGACAATTTGCGAAGAACTTACAACAGCATTGGGATCTGATGCTCCAGCATATGCAACTGTTGCAAAATGGGCGAAACGTTTTCGTGAAGGGAGAGAGGATGTCAATGATGACTTTCGATCTGGTCGTCCGATTTTGGTACTTACAGATGAAAATATCGAACAAGTTCGCAAAGTTATCGAAGATGATCCACATTCAACCTATGATGATATCATAGCCGTGACTTCCCTTTCTGATGGTACAATAGAACGGATCATTCATGACTGTTTAAAGATGAGAAAAGTTACATCACGTTGGGTTGCTCACAAACTCAGTGATGAACAAAAGCAACAACAACTTAGAGTTTGTCGTCAAAATCTAGCAAACTTTCAGACTGGGAAATGGAGGTTATCTGATGTAATTACTGGTGATGAGACATGGATTTATCATAGACAGATTGGTCGAACGTCAAGTAATACTACATGGATCACCGAAAATGAACCATCAAGGACCATTGTTCGTCGAAATAGATCTGAGCCCAAAACATTGTTTTGTTTATTCTTTAAATCAAATGGTCCTGTTCTTATACACAAAGTTAAGATCAAATCTAAATTTCAAGACTGTATTCGGACTCCTCGTGAGAAGGCCGATCGGATCATACTAAACATGATTTCATTTTACACAGATATTGAATATCAAATATGTTCTTACTATTTGACGACCGCACGACAACACAGAACTATCTTGAGTCCTTAATTATTCTGAAAAGCCGAAGTGTTGCATATGACATCATACTGTGTTTAATGGAGCATCAATAGCTGCAGAAATCCGAAAAGTTTCATGCAAACCAGAACTAGATATTCCTAAAAAGTTGAAATTTATTCCCCACACGATTTTAATGGGTATTCGTGGAATAATATAGATAAAAAGGCTGCCTGAATATTTTGGCTAGATCAAACACACTGAGGGTTCTGCATTATTAGAACTGTAGCGGAAGAGACGTTCTATCAAACACACTACGACATCATAGCATGGAGTTAAGTTTTTCTGAATAATGAAGGTCCTGATATAGACCTGTAGTATTGTGTCATCGATGAGTGCTCATGACGTATTTTAGGTTAAACTGTCTTCAAAACGTAAGTCAAGTTTAGTGTGATCCGATCGGCCTTCTCACGAGGAGTCCGAATACAGTCTTGGAATTTAGGTTTGATCTTAACTTGGTGAAGTAAACTATCAAAAACTATTAGCTAAAATTGTACAAAAAATCGGTTCTAGAGGAGGTCTCATTTTCTACTGCTTAAAGTATTTTGAACCTATTTCCGTCAAAACAAAAGCGTTTCGAAAAATTATTTTTATCAAAATACTCAGAATTAAAAGCTCTACAAATGCTGAAAATTTCATCAAAATCGGTGGTAGTTTTTGTATGCTTATTCTGGTACCTCAGAGGATGCCCTATATGGAAAATGGACTTTTTCACATCATTCTATTTCGAAACGGCTGAAGTTGGGCGGGAAACTCACTATACTGGCTAATAGACCAAGTCTAGTACTTCACCAAAACACTATCCTAAATTCTGCAGAATTCGGCTTTCGTGAAAAATCTTGACCACAATATGTGGTTTTTTCATTATATGGATTATAGGGTACTCGTCTGTGTAACCCTATCTATTAATACAAACACTTTGAACATATGGTTCTCATATGCTTAAATAGACACTAGATATACGTATTCAGTGTGGCTAAAATCGATGGTCAATCATTGTATTATGATGTTGAACAGCGTACCCGAAAATAGGCTATTTTTGACATTTTCTCATTTTTAGCATAATCTCGTATCGGATCAGTTCGTATATGAGTGATATGAACGAGCTGATATAGTGATGTACATAACCCACTAACTTAGTACTATACATGCATACAAAAAGTTTCAGTCATTCCTTATATTTACAGGAAAAAGCCAAGACTCCAAAATGATGAAAAATCATGAAAATGATCATCATAGGCTTAAAGGACATATTTTGTGGTCTCAAAATAACTATGATGCCGATCGAAAGTTCGTAGGATTTTTTTACCAAAAGTCTTAGAGTAGTGAGAGCTCACCTAACCCCGTAGTGCTAGCTTCCAAATGAAGATCCTATCAGGATGGAACGGCTTTAATCACTCGAAAGCACCTAAAATCAAATGTTCGTGATTTTCTGCTAATCGCAGGACCATTTTGAGGAAAAGAAAAAAAGTGGACCGATTTCTTAGCTTGTACTGACCCGTTCCTTTTCTTTTTCTTCTGTTTTCCTCACGATAGTATGTAAGCGTCTTGACTATTATATGTGTCACTTTTAGGTGAAATTTTCGTCTTCATTCGTGATTTTCTTACGGATTACTTTTACACAACATGACCGTTTCCTGCAGACAATTATTCCACAATGACAGGAGGAGCAAAACGAGTGAATAGTTAAACAAAAGAGGGCGAGACATTGTAGAGTTTTAGACGTTAATGTTTTTTCTCCTTTATTCGCTTTTCGATCTTCTCACTCAAGCCAACACGGAAGAAGTATTATTTTTTTGTTAGGAGCAATAACTTATTCTATGCGACTTTGATATATGATAAAGAAAAAACCAGCTTGATATTTCATCGACTCTCTGTCGTGGTCTTCTATTGGAATCTACGAGGGTGTCGAAATTTTAGTAGTTTCCATGGGTAGAATTAGTGAATAAATTTATAATATGATATGTATTTATTATATTTGGTTATATATTATACAAAAGTCGATGAAACAAGTCTAAGGTTCTTCGTTTCACCGACTCTTGTTATGAATAATGTTCCTCTGAGTGATGTAAATGAACATGTCCATTTAATTTTGATATTGTCAAAGGATATGACTTGGACGAAACACACTGACAGACTTGTAGCCAAGATTAATGGCTTGGCAAAACGGTCGTCGAATAGGCAAGCGCTCGATATAATTCACAAAAGCTATGTATTATCTACGCTAAATTATGGTGCTACATTGTATTCTTTGATCACTGATTATAATCTTCTTAAATCAATATTAGATGTACCATAATATTTGCCTAACTATCTCTATTCTTTCTCTTATTTTTAGTTTATAATGCGTATTAGCGTTACTTCAAACTAAAGTCAATGCGATCTAATATCCTAAGTATCTTTTAAGCCTAAACATTAGTAAGTATCGCAGAGCCCAGGTCAACATATGAAGTCGAAATAGATTTGGCTGGAGTTTTTTTGCAGACGAGTTGAAGAAAAATCTTTTTTGCAAGTTGCTTATAAGCATAAGGACATGACTAATTCGAAAATATCTCTGCTCAGATCTTTTCCGTTACCGAGATAGGCGGCATTATCCGTAAAATAACTACCTTTTCCACCGGCTACTTATAATCATACCTTTATGAATAAAATAACCATAAGTAGCTCGAGTACAGCATCGAGATATGTTGCCAGGTGCGAGCTTACTTTTCATTGGTAGAAATCGTGAAAAAGTCAGAAGTCCGACATGGTTAAAAATGGAAAATATCCAAAATCTGGTAAATTTTCGCGCTCTCCCCACCCATGGAAGACGTTTTTATAAAATTACAGCTGCCAGAGAATATAAGTACAAAGTTACAGCTGCCTAAGAAATCAATTTCACCAAAAAATGTTGCCTTCGGAGCAATAAATAAGGGTCAGTTTTTAGGAAATAACGTCTCTTATCTCGGTAAAGGAAAAGACCTAAGCAGAGATATTTTCGGATTAGCCATGTCCTTATGCTTATAAGCAACTTGCAAAAAAGATTTTTCTTCAACTCGTCTGCAAAAAAACCCCAACCAAATCTATTTCGACTTCATATGAATACAACGATAACGCTAATGAGAATCTTTTATCGTTAGAAACGATTTGTATACATATGAAGTCGAAATACATTTGGCTGGAGTTTTTTGCAGACGAGTTGAAGAAAAATCTTTTTTGCAAGTTGCTTATAAGCATAAGGACATGACTAATTCGAAAATATCTCTGCTCAGATCTTTTCCGTTACCGAGATAGGCGGCATAATCAAGTGTCTGGAAAGTGCTTTGAGGCATTTATTAAGTAGTATTTTTTGAAAATACTTGTCAAGTGCTTTATTAGGACAATTAATGCGAAAATACTAAAGTTATACCCTAGAGACCTTTTGTAAACTGAATGTTTGTTTCATAAAAAAATGTCGTAGAGAGCTCGGAGACTATTGTTCAGAAATGTTAGCTCTATATGACGGAGTTATTAGTAAAAAACTTTTATATATAAAACTTTTTATATTTATAAAAATATAAGTAGTTTTGATGGCGGAATAAATGTTGATAGAATCGATGGTGTTGGTGTGGCAGTAATTATTAATTACTGCCACACCAATACCAGAAACGCCACGATGAGACTGTCGTACATTTAAAACTGTTAATAGACCAAAGGTAATCAATAACAGTGGAGGAAGAATGGTAAAGAAAAGTACTGTAAAGAATGAATAAAGTTTTTGCATAAGTACTATACATCATGTATCACGGCTTGGTGTTTGCTTGCAATATATTCATCAATTGAGTCTCGTTCAGTAGCTTTTCGTTTTCTTATTTTTGGAGTACCCCATTTGAACGGCGACGTTGGCGATGATTCATTCGAACGAAATGTAATACTTTGTGAATCGGGTAAAGGTGAAAATATGGATGTAGGTGGACAGTCTTGATTTATCGATGCTTTAGGCGATTGATAATTGTAATGTGTTAATAATTTGACTCGACATGGTGGAATACGGACAATAGTAGATACACACGACGATGACGACGCAGATATAACGGACAGTAAATCAGTTGTTTGTAGTTGAAATGTTGTCTTAGTAAATGTCTTTAATGTAATTTTATGTTTATGTGCTTTTTCCTTGGCGTTGTTTTTCATTGTATGAATAGCAATTGTACAGATTCTGGATAAAAGTTTTTTATTATGTCCAGAAAATAAAATGCGAAATTGATTCTCTATTTGATTTAATATATGTTCATTTAAATTCGGATACTCCAGTCTTGGATCATCTTCGATAACTTCTATTAACTCAATAGTTAAACAAGAAGGAATGTTTACCTAAAAGAACATTTCAAATAAATGAAGATTTCGAAAAAAATATGAAAATTGTTCTATTCGTATATTATGCTCCTTCAGAAAAAAGTCGTGCTATATAAGTAGTGTGTTTCGATATATAAGTGAAAAAATCAGAAGGAAGAAAGATAGATCAAAGAGCAAGAAAAATGAATTAATCAGAATATCGAGATATGCATAAATTGAATACTCTTAGTTGATTTTGCTGAGATATTGGGAAAAATATAGCTCTTTGCGCTCGAATTTTGTGTGTATGATATGAAGTTCAGACAATACATCATGAGACGCACCTCTACATTTATCTCTACATGCACATATATCCGGAAAAAAAGATTAAAAAGACACAAAAATAAGATAGAGGAAGAAGGAGAAAAAAAGGCATAATTTCAAGTCTCAAGATGAATTATCTTATGACTAAGAGCTGTAGCATTTTTTATCGTGAAGACCCCGACTTCTTGCTTCTCAAGGACTCATTGTTTTTCTCAAAACAACTCATTGTTTTTCTGATAATAGACAGGACAGTAGAAGTGAAAAACGATGAATCTTGATCACGATATGTTTTAGCTCTGTCAAAGGCCTTTAATTGATTGAACATAGGCAAGTTCAGTGTTAATATAAACATTCTTAAAATGTATTAAACCAATATAAAATATCAAAAGCTAAATTAAATACGATAACCAACCAACGCTTTCAACCCGCCCAAATATATCAACATTATAAGCCAAAATCATAATTATATAAACTAAATATACCCATAGCACAATAAAATAAAAACATATTAAATTATTAAAAAAATAAAACATTAATAATATCAACATAAAATTAACACTAAAATGGTATAAAATAAAATATAATAAATTTAAAACCTTTTATAACTAATTAAATATCAAAACTATTGACTACCACTAATTATATTAATTAAAAATATATAAAAAGTATAAAAGAAAATAAATATAAAAAACCTATTAATATAGAATCTTATGACTTACACTCACACATTTCAAACTTTCATATTTTAATCCATAAACTTTTAAATGCAAATTAAACATAATAATACTTTCTGACTAAACTTAAATTTTTCTTACGAGGGAACGTTTTAAAGTGTCCTGTCAACTCAAAGCTGCAGAAATAAGAAATTAATTTAGGGCTTCTCTTGTAAATTTTATAACATTGTAGGGAAAGGCCATGTAGAGTTGGGAGACGTCTCATTTTAATCAGACATGCGCGGGCTACAAGCATGGCTCATTAAGAAAGGTTCGAGCTGTTTTTCAGAGTTTCTGAAAAGCTGGTTTTCCGGAAAACCAGGCCTTCGAATTCCTCAGAGCAGCTCGCATATTCATATTCGGAATCAGCATCACCGATAACCTATAACCCACTGGGTTTCGTTGACAAAGTGAGGGGGCACTTAAAACGTTCCCTCGTTAGTTTACTGAGGTTTTGAGGGCTTCGGACGTTTTTTTCGAAGCTCTACGACCTCTCTATTCTTCGCTCTTGGACTTTCAGAAACGCATGAAAACATTGGTTATCGACCATGCTGGATTACGTGGCAATGTTAGTTCCAGAGCAAAATGCAAGAACCGACTGACAACCTATACTAGGTGAAATAACCCATTTTTGGCTACTTTTATCAAAACTGAGCTATTTTATCTAGTACAGGTTTTCACTTTCTTCTTGCATTTTGTTCCTATAAGTAACATTGCCACTTAGAGATGGGCCGTAATGGAGTCGAATAGAACGAATATGTTTAATGTAAAGTATCCGAAGCGGCAGAAAGAAGAACTGTCTCATTTTAGTTTTCTTCACTTCATTATTATGTCTCATTACGAAGAATCGATTATTCGTATAACTTAATTCCGTTTGTTCTCATTCGGAAAAGATAGACTATATTATCACTGATTTATGAGTGAGCATAGACGAAAGTATCGCGAATAGGACAAATAAACAGTATAACTGCTTCCGAATAAACGTAATGATGAGCTTCTTACGTAAGAAACGTAATAACGTCAATTTCAGACGTTCTTACGTTTCTTCGTTCAAAGTATATAAGAGAAAACAAATGTTACGTTTATTACGTGTTACGTAAGTTTGACCTCTTTTTCTCTTTCTTTTTTGACGTGTAGTTATATATTCATTATTCGAATATTCTTTACTCGTTATAAATGAAACATAGTTTGCTATAGCGAATAACGAATAATCGTTCGTTTCTTTCTTTCGAGGTTTACGTATTACGGCCCATCTCTAATTGCCACGAGATTCAGCGTGGTCGACAACCTATGTTTTCATGCATGTCTGAAAATCCCAGAGCGAAGAATAGAGAAGTCCCAGGGCTTCGAGAGAAATGTCCAACGCTTTCGAACCAAATAAAGTGTCAAACTTTTGTTTGAATCTTATTTTGTAGATGACACTTTGGACTATCTACGTATGGAAAATAATCAATGGACTGCTATGTAAAATCGTTGCCTCAGAAACTAGTTTTCCAGAGATTCTCTGGAAAATCAGTTTTAAAAATTTGCTAAAAAACCGCTTTTGCTTATGGAAATATAGACTAGATCAAAATTATAATAAAATAATTGTATAAACTTGTATCGACTAAAAATATTTACTTTCTATAATTTTTAGCATACGGAGTACCCTATCGTTTAATCCTGTAAGGTTAAACGATTTTTAACACCATTTTCGCTTTCGTGTATAAAAATAGTATTTCTGCTGCATATGCTTTATTCCCTTAACAGCGTAAAAAGAGCATCGGATGATACAGTGTTGTATAAAGTGTGTACATTGAGCAGTGCGTTGTCCGTCGCTTTTATTACTCAGGATTTATTCGGTTTGTCCAATTGTAATTCGGGTCGCACCCGAAGGTTGTGTACGAGTACTGCACTAAAATCTCGAAATACATGAAGTTTTATAAAAGACTTATTTGAGAACGCAATTATAATTTGACATTTCCAGCAGTAAAACCATATCGAGTCGAAACAGATTTGGCTACAGTTATTTTTTATTGCTTCCAAAGATGGAGACTGTGCGAAAATTTTTGGATTTTTTCCATTTTTAACCATGACTTTTTTAGCTTCAGGGCTTTCGCCACACACAAGAATTCTCGGTAACGATACAACGGAAAACGAAAATTTTCTTTGTGATTTGTAGAAAACATCTATAGCTAGGAGTTGACAGAGTCCGATTTTTAAATTATACTTCTATTTTTTATAGAAATGAGGATTTCTAAGAAACCTTCCAAGGATTTTTCGGACTTTAAAGTTCTTAAGCACCAGAAATCAGTAAATGAGCAATTCAAAAATCTGGCTCTTTCAACTCCTAGGCATAGGTGTTTACTACAAAACAAAAACAGCCCGAGCTCTCCATCATTTACCGGGAATGAGACTTATTGTTTCGAAAAGTTATGAGTTCATTATTATACCCGATGAATAATAACTTCATCCGAACGAGCTAAAACTTTTAAGGCAGTTACAAAGCATTTGCGATTTACAAGAAAGCTTATGTTTCTTTATGGTTGCTAATTTTACGATTTCTACCAATGAAAACGACGCTCACACCAAGCAACATGTCTCTATACTGTACTCGAGCTACTTATGGTTATTTTATTTATAATGGTATGATTATAAGTAGCCGGCAGGAAAAATTCTAGTTATTTTTCGAACAATGTTTCCCATCTCAGTAACACAGCGGACCTGAGCAGAGATATTTTATACTAGTCATAATGGTATGACTATAAGTAGCCTGTAAAAAGAAATTTTCTTCAACTCGTCTGCAAAATAACTCCAGCCAAATCTGTTTCGACTCGATATGCAAAACTTTTTATCTGGAAAACAAAAAGGAGAAAACTTTTAGGCAAAAGGCAGGTACGGGTCGGGTACAGATACAAAGTTCTCGGATCGGGGTACGGGTGAAAAAAAATGCTCGGGCCGCGTACGGATTCGACAACGGTACTCGTGCACATCTCTATCAGGAAGAAGCATCAAATCATGAAAAACCCTGAAGTCGGCTTAAACATCTCAGAAAGATGACAAATGGCGGTTACTTTGACGAGCAAACATTGAAACATACAAACAATTAAATTCATATGTGATCCTTTCTTTCAGTCAAGGGAAAAATTCATTTCTTTATTCTTCACTTCCTCCAGTTCTTAAGAAAAATCTATAACTTTTAGTCAGCTACATGCATGTACAGATATATTTTCTGAACTTTTATCCTAATATAACTTCTGCAAAGAATGATATTATTGTTCACTATTAACTGCGCGTATTTTTAGATGATATTGCCTTATATTGAATAGATTCAATTACAAGAAAAAGCACATAAATTCCTTTAGCAGATGTTTAGTTATTCTGGAAGTGCAGAATATCTGTGTTCTCCCAATAATGCATTAATATTAAAGCTAATGTGGCAAACAACTTCAGTATGCACAAATCGTCATGGAAAACATTAGCTTTAATGTTAATGCATTGTTGGGAGAACACAGATATTCTGCACTTCCAGAATGACTACACATCTGCTAAAGAAAATTTATGTGCTTTTTTGGTTGGTGTTGACAGTATGACAAACGGACAAAGCCAAATGTTTTCCCTTTCTTTTACCTTTGTCATACTGTCAACACCAACGTCTATTTCGTTTTAGTTAAACAAAGCAACACAGGGGATTTTCCTTTCTTTATTCGTTCTATTAGTATTTCGCCAAGTTACATCATTTCCTTTCATGTGCGGTAGTCATGAAGAAAGTAAAAACCAAGAGAAAAAGAAGACGGACACATATGCAAAAAATGATTTTTTTACGTAATTGGTGATATTCTAGACATGCAAGATATACATTTTCGATGTAAAAGAGCAAAACTTTTTTATCTATTTGACCATTATGTTACTAGTTTCTTTTGTTTTAAATGATGTCTCTTTTATAGTCTTAATCATCAATATACTGTGTGTGATTGGTTGCGTTAATTAAGAAAAACTAATAAGAAATGTTAAAACGATCGTTTTTGTTAATTAAATTAAAAAAAGATGTGGTTTTCAAAGAGGTAATTTTTCTAGATTGAGATCTTCGTTATACGCATACAACGGTTCCAATTATTCAGAATTGAGCTGAAATCGATTCTTTTTTCGACTTCTGAGGCAAAAGCTGAAATATATAGTACATGCAGATCTGATATTAGGATAGTGTATGGTCAGTAAAATAAGGATTTGAAAATGCCTCCTTTTCGAGTTCTAGATGTTAGATAGGCTAAGTTAGGATATCCAATAAAACAAATGATTTTTTCAAATTTACGAAGAAATTAGTTTCACTGATGTAACTGGACATCATCTAGAATAGCTTGGCTAAAAATGCATTTAGAAGAATAGAAAAAGAATTTATATATTAATCCTAAACTCATTTTTCTCCATATCTATGACAATGCAGTCTTCAAGCTCTACAACTATTAGATATGTGCAACACAACATCAACTTGAGGCTGAATCCTTAAGTCCTTTGCCTACATCGACTTGTCAGGGTTTCTCAAGGTCAAAGCTTTTCTAAAAAATGCCTCTGATCAACTCCGTTTGTCATTCTGCTCACAACTACATGTGCTAAAAATTTTAGCTTTCGAATGGTGTAAAATAACAAGATTTTAATTTCGTTTCTATTACAAACTTATACGGTGAAATTCCCAATCGGACTTTGTGTATATCTACATTGAAAAAACCTTCTTATCTCTATCAAATTTACTTAGACTATTGGTCATTTAACAACATCACATGCTGATCCTTTACTTCAAAGATTGAGATATGTCTATAATATAACATCTCCAGATTTAAGATTTTATTGCCGTGGTGCTGATATACCAAATGATTTTACAACAAAATATCGTGTTAATCAAGTAATACAAGATTCAAGAGTTATTGATATGAGCCTAATATATGGAAAATTAATAAAAAATACCCGTTATTTAATTGCATCTAATATGGCTGTTAATTTAACTTTATTTGGTACACAAGAGACACATATGCGTGCCATACAACGTAACAGTTATTTTAAGATATTATCAATAAACAGACGTATAAATAAAAATCAAACACAAGTTTTATTACATATATTAGATCATTGTACAGAAATATTTAAAGAATATTTAACAATTATGGAACAATATATTATTCAACAAAGTATACAAGATTTTCTGTTTAAACAATGGTTAGAACCTCTTGCACAACTACAAACAGAACAATGGCTGACTAGAACAGCATTCCCTATCGGAATGGATGATATGAGTAATTTTTGCTTTGATGATAAGGATAATGAAGATACTTGGTCAAAGAAAATTTAAATTATTTATTGTTCGGTTATTGTATGGCTTTCTTGTTAAATATGTTAATAAACATGAATAAGAGTTTGCCTATAAAATCAAAATGTCTGTTTGCTTGATTGCATGCTCGCAACAGAAGAGAAAATAAAAACGCTGTACTTAGAGATTCTAATAAATGCTGGACTTAATAAGATTGAACTTATTCGACATGAAGAACACCGTTTTGGTGAATAATATGTTCGAAGAAAAACAAAAAAATGAAATGCAAGAATATCAGTTTTCCAAAGAAAAAACTTTTTTCAGGAGAGTTTGCCAAAGTCCTCTAATAATAAATGAATTTTGTTTTATAGCCGCTCTTTTTCCTACAGAAAAGTTCAATATTTGGAAACTTGAACTGGCCCTTACACAGTGTGCATTTTTTCATAGGCCAGGCAGACATTTGCTACACAGCATATTAGAAGTCACTTCACTAGTAAAACAGCGAAAGTTGCTCAAACGATGTTTGAGCTTTTGGCTCAGAATTTTACCATAGGTAGAGGCAACATATATAGGAAGAATCTCAAAATTTTTTCGTTCGGACTTATTGTGTTAAAAAGTTATACAGCTTTTCGTAAACGCCCCAAAAATAGTCTAAAACGATACTTGAATAAAAATCAAATTTCTGATGTTTATTTCTTGATCTAGGAAGCTGATTAAGAGCTCGTATTTGCAGCATAAGTAGTCGAGGTCGAATACTATCTATAACCAAGAACATATGCAAAAAGTGTTACATATGTGTGAACATAAGCACACACGATGGTAGAATTTTGCTGAGACAAACAGTTTTGCGTAACTTTTTTTAACCTAAAAGCTTTCTTATTGCATTGAATGTTACTTCTATCCATTGTACAAGTATATCTGTACTGTAAATTATGAAATCGATTCATACAAGTCTCTTGGCTGGTGGACGGCTGAGCTCGAAAGTCGATAGAAAAACGAAAGATCGCCTGCTTTCCAGTCGTTTTCTCATCCGATAGTATTCCAAATGTTGGAACTATACTGCCGCTGTAACCTATGGACCCAATACTATTCATGCCTGAAAGCCGTTTTTTGGAGGATTTACATATGGCACTAGAAAAGGTCTCTGAAAATTCGTTTTTTGAAGTTCACTTACGAGGGAATATATATAACTGATTAATCGCTTTTTTCACCAAACCTAGTGGGTAATAGGTTATCGACCACGCTGATTTCGCATATCTATATGAGACAGACTACTAGGCTTTTTTAGAGCGGTTTTCTAGAAACCTTGAAAGATCTCCTCTTTAACTAATGATTGTATCCCACAAAATTATGTTCAAAATGAGACATCTCCGACCACTATGCGACCTTTCTCTGTGAAGCTATAGAATTTACAAGAAAAACCCTAAATATTCATTGTCAGCTCAAAGCCACAGAAATAAGAAGAAATTTATTTACGGCTTTTGAAAATTCTATAACTTTGCGAATTTTCTGCTGCATATATGCCGCCATATGCAGTCAGCAAACCCCAGTCTTTAAACATTATTAATTAAAGTTACATGCTTTTGTACTTATACTTTCATGTCTTCGAGAAGTTTTAAGAGAAAGCGATCAATAATATTCTATAGAAATAATAATTAAATACTATTAGTATGAAAACATTTCTTCGTGTAGAGATCGAATTTTCGTACGTTCTAAAGGAAAATATGAATTCAGTGGTATATGTATCCGTGCCGAACCTCGCACCGTGGATTTCACCATCAAATCATTGTCTAAAGTGTCTTCTAATGTTGATGTATTGTCTTTTGTTCGATGATTTCTTAATGAGTATCGCTGTTTTTTCGCTGGAAGATTAGTGTCAGCAGTCTCTTCGTCACTTAAATGGTCAAGAAATTGTTTTCTCGCCGAATGAGCATTCGGACGCTTCCTATAATTTATTTTCGATTTGGTTTCTGCTGATACATCGTCTTCCATTGATGTTGAAGTATTTACACTGGATTTAGTCTTCTTCCTATTAGAATTTATCTAAGCAAATTGATTTGGTACCTGTTTTCCAGTTATATATTGTTTTGTTGTGAATCATTTCGAGCCATCTTCCTTTCTCGCATTTCGCATACGTGTTACCGCTTCATCACTCGTTACTTTATGTCTGAATTTCTCTCCTTCGGCAAACATACTCTTAAGAAATAATTTAATATCTGGATCAATCGCTTTGTTTTGCCGTTTCGGACGAAGGCAGTGACCTCCACGCTCAAAGCAAATCATATGTTTCGGCAGAAGTGAGGGGATCTGTCGTCATTTTCACC